GATGACCGACAGCGCGGCCTGGACATGTGGATCCACGGACGGAGGGGCCGCGGCCATAGGCTGGGCCGGGGCGTGGTCCGTCTTCTCAGCTCGCTTTTTGTCCAGGCCGAGGCGGGCATCAGGGGCTCCGCCGTTGAGTTGGTTGCAGAGGTCCGTTGTGAGGTTGAAGGCCTCCTGGAAGAGGTCCCCTCCGCCGACCTGGTCGGCCGTGGCGTCCTCATCGTGCTCCCTGGGCTCTTGGTCCTCAGGGATGGCTTTGCTGACGAGGTTGCGGTTTGACTTAGTTCTCCCCATGATCAGTGGTTAGCTGTGCTTGGTAGCGACGAAGGGTGCTAACTTGATTGTTCTAGCTCTCAACGAGAGCACCAAATGACAGAGTATATCTAGAGAGAAGTGAGAGCTAGAGAGAGAAGTGCAATAATAATATGCTTCAATAGAATGAATTTGTAACCCCTATAACTACTCCCAAGGGGAGTATTTATAGAGAAAATACGGGCTAGGCTCCCAAGCCTTGGGCTTGGGAGGCCCATTTACAACTGGACCGCTACTGGGCCGGATACAAAGCCACTAATGGGCTGTACAAATGAGTAAGTGTAAAATCCGGTTCCGTGAGGTCTTCGTGGCCGACGAGGGCACGGCCGACGAGGGCACGGCCGACGAGGGCGCGGCCGACGAGGGCACCCGGGTTCCTTGGGCTCAGGACCATAATCTGAGTTGGCACCTTTTCGGCCGACGGGGGTCCCTCGGCCGACGAGGGCGCCACTCAGTGTCTTGTTCTTTCTGTTCTTCTAAGTATGTGGGTCCAGGGGCTCAGACCCATATACTCTATCAGTTCCTTTTCCAAAATGTTGTCCTTGGATGCAAATAACTTCTTATTGGCTTATTGCAGGTCTGCCAAATATGTACCAGGGATTCATAAGAAAAAGAATGCAGTCGGGAAAAACTTCCTGTTACCTTCCCAAAAGCCCTTAACCTAAAGTGATTCCTAGGCTATAAATTTGACTGGTTTTAGGAAATGAAATCTACAATCCACTCTTTTTGCCTCATGAGTTATTTTTTACTTTCATCATCTTCCTCTGGTTTGCGTTTGTATTAGGAAACTATTGTATGAGCTCATTCAATTTTGAAAACATGTTCAATGCCACGTTAGTTGTCATCTTTCAAAGACATCAAAAACTGAAAGAGCAAGAAGTGACCACCTAGCTTAGCAAATTCAGGGACCATTTCGGCACAACCACGAAAGAATGTAGAACGACTCCAAAAGGGAAGGGACCTATAGGTTTAATGATACTGAGAAGATGCCCATAAGCACAGAAACAATGTATGCATCCCCGATTCATTGATTCCAACAATAAATGAAGGTTATCAAGGAAAGTGAAGCCAAAGATAGTCAACCCTCAAGATTTGTTTGTTAAGATGTATAAAGAAAATATATGAAGGAAAGCCACACTATGTGATAGATATATGTAATACATTGAAATACTAGATTGAACTACATAGTTGTTGTGATACTTTTATATATTGTTTTTTGTTGCTTTTTGTTGTATTGAATGTGTTGCTTTTTGTTGCATCTTGTTGTTTTTTGTTGCATCATGTTGCTATTTGTTGCACTGTGTTACTTATTTTTATTTTGTTGTTGAATTGTTCTTGTTTTTTGTATATTTAGGTTTTTACTTATTGTTGATACTTCTCTAAAGTAAAAAATCATATATAGATTCATATTTAATCATGTAAAATGATAAATTTGAATTTCTATATAAACCAACCACAAGAAACATAAAGAAACAATAAAAAACAAAAAATTCAGAGTTATCGACAAAAGGAAACAAGAAGAAACAATAGTCAACAAAAAGAAACAACAAATCTATAAATATTTTTTATTATTCGTATTTTAATTTGTTTTTTAAAATTTTCAACATTTAATTCTATTTTAAATTTTATTTGATTTTACACATTTTGAACTTTTGAGTTTTATATTTCTCATAATTTTTAGTTTATTTAAATTAACTTCTTTTAATATTTTATTTTATGTTTTTTGATTTTTCAACTTTTTTAAAAATTATCAATTTTTTTTACTTTGTATGTATGTCGGTCTCTAAAATAATAACTGTTTCATAATAGTTTATAATTTCATATGATAATTTGTAATATCTTCAAATATTTTATCATTTTCAAAACCATTTTTTCTAATAATGGTTTTTTGAGATTTTTTTTTTCACTTTTTTCTTTATATGTTTGAATGTTTTTAATTATTTATAAAAAAATCAATTATTTATACTTCGTATTTTTAATGCTTTAAGTACTTTTTAATCAAATTATAGGTTTTATGAAGTCTTTTAAGAAATAAAATTACAGAAATTGTTCTATTTCTACAAATTTTCCACGTCATAAACTATTTTAAATATTTCTTATTTTTACATTTTATATTTTTAGTTTCAATTTTTTTTATACATTTTCAATACTCTGATTTATTTTTTAAATTTATATTTCATTTTTTAAATTTAGCTTAGGAGTTTTTCAGCCTCAATTTTTATCATGCATTATGTGATTTCTTAATTTAATTATTTTGTTTTATTTATTTTATCTAATTTTAATAGTTTTATTATTTCTAATTATTTTCATCTCTTTTACTACATATTTACATCTTTTATTTAAACAAATGAATTGAGTAATTCTTGTAGTTTGTACAAATTTATCAAATGTGTGAAAGTAGCCACTACTGATGCGAGCTTTAGACTCTTTGAAGTGAAGAATTGAAGTTTACAGTAACTTGGTTCAATACACGGAGCACATAGTCTATTTTTGATAGGAAAAGTTCAATGGACTGTTTTTGAAAAGAATTTTGAAAAGTGAAAAAAGTGTTTATTTTAACTTTGTGTCTAGCTGTGAAAAAACCCCTAAAACATAAAGATGCAATCAGAAAATATTAAGTGCTTGGATATTGCTTGATTGTTGTTTAGCATTTTCCCCATGTTTTTTTACAAATGGCCGAGGGTTATGGTGGTGTTTGGATCTGATTCTTAAAACTGTTTTTACTCCTTTAAGAAGCAGAAACAGAAGTTGGAGTGTTTGAGTGAAAGTGCGGAAGTACTTGTGGTGCTCTAATTTACTTCTAGAAGCGGTTTTTTTAGAAGCCGTGCGAGAACAACCTTTGAAAAGTGATTCTGCTTCTGCTTTAAAAAAGAAGCAGAAGCAGAATCAGTTCCAAACATCCCCTATCTTACATAGCCACATATGAGACTTTAATTACTAGCACCTTTAATTATAAAAATAATTAGGAAAATAAAAATCAAGTTATCACAAAATTTTTGTTATAAATGTCATCTATCTGGCTTCAGCTTATGATTATTATGCAAAGTCGTCTGTAACCAGTTATTCGCTGTTCCTGCTGCCTCCACCAAACTCCAACGTACGATTACTTCATGACCGTCTAATTTACGTGTAATTATATCTATCACCACTAAAATGCAATTATGAAAACTAAAATTTACATGTGCATTTATAGCATGACACTCAAAATTAGGGGAGAGCAAACCCGACCCTACCCGATTGACCCGATCGGATATATCCGATTTTTTTGTTGCGGTCGGAAAACCTGACCCAAAATATCCAAACCCGTTCCGATTCTTGCAACTCGAGACTCAAGGGGGTAGCGGGTAGGGTTACCAATTATGATACCCGACCCGCCCGAAAAACCGAACTAGCGTAGTATATATACTACTTTGAATTATTATTCATGTTCAAATATCTCAATTATTGTATGCAATCACCATATTATGCATGTTCAATATTCCAATTACCGTATTTGTACAATTATAACTTCGAATGTCGTATTGTTATGACTTTGAATGATATTTTGACCAATTATCATTTTATTTATCACAAAATTTTTCAACCGGAAAAACCCGATAAAATATTTGATAGGATAGGGTTTGAAATTATCAATCTGATACCCGAACGGGTTCAACATTTTTGAACCCGACCCGCTAGTACCCGACTCGTGCTCTGCCCTACTCAAAATACAAAAGTAAAATACTATAATACTCCGTAGCATGATACTCAAAATAGAAATTAGTTCAAATAGGACTAAAACTATGACAAAAACCTAAAATATGACTTGTATGTTTTTATTCCAAAATAGGATCATATGAGTCCTATTGGAAACATACCTATTTTTGCATTCCATTCTTACCCTTCCATTAAATATGAATTAAAAATAGTCAAAAGTCATAATTAAATGTTTAATTCCTAATAAATTCGAAAAAAAATCAAAAATTCGTAGAAATATAATTAAAAAATTTATAAAATTTTTATAAAATAAAAAATTTAAAAAAAGAAATTTTTTAAATAATTTTATTTTTAAAAAAATTAATAAAAAATAGTAAAACTCCGTAAAAAAAAATTAAAAAAATATGGATGCCTTTCCCACCGCCTGTACTACCTCCCAGCACCACCACCTCCGGCCGATGAAAAAAATGCCATTTTCCCAGAAAAATGCCATTTTTTTCTGAAAATGCCAAAAAAGTGGCATATTTCTCTTTTCGAATGTCAACTTTTTCATTTTTTCTGCCATAATTATGGCATTCGTAATGAACTTGGCATTTTTTTTCCCTGGTGACTGGTGGTGGTGGTGCTGAGGCGGCAGAGGCGGCGGCGATTTTTTTTTTGAGTTTTTATTTTTTATTTTTTTTATTTTTTTTTTTTTATTTTTTGAAAAAAAATTAATTGAATTTTTAATATCGAAATGTTTTTCTTAATTTTTTAGTATTTTTTACGAATTTTTATTATTTATTATTATTTTATTAGGAATTAAAACATTTTAATAGCTATAAGGGTATAATTGTCCAAGGTACACATAATTAGTCCTATGCAAACATAGTTCATTTTTTGGTCCTATTTGTGAAAAGTGAATGACTTTTAGTCCTATTTTGATAATTAACCCTACTCAAAATTATAGAATTAAGAAAACGAGATTGACTAACAAAAAGTAAAATGTGCAAATCTGGGGAAGGAGGAATCATTTATAAACCCTTGATATTGGTGCTCTATTGTCATGTTCTTACTTTTTAGCCCTTAGACCCGAAGTCCCAAAACCTCAAAGAAAAACCTCCTTCCAGTTGCAAGCGCAGCCGTTTCATCCTGCTTCATCCCATACAACCATCCTCCGTCACCAATCGATCAACTGTTTGAAAAAGTCACCGCACAAAAGACTGGCGATATGGGCACCCAGGGAACCACAGTGAATGAAGAAAAGCAACCTGTCGAAGCTTCCAAAGCGTCGCCTGATCTCAATGATTACAAGATTATCAAGGAAGGCGAAGCAGAGATTCTTATGCACGCCAAGAATGTAGTCTTTTACAACAAAGCTCAGGTCTTCTATCCCATTATAAACTTTTTTTCCCGAATTCTTTTTCAATCTATTTTTCCCATTACACCTGTCGACTTATCAATAATGGGTGGGAGTTCATGTTAAAGACGCTTTCGAGTGCCTACAAATTCCACTGTTTAACTGACTAGCCTAACTTTATATTAAACCGACCTAGTATGGCCCTAAGTTTTGATATTTAACCTTGTTTTTCAGCTCATAGTTGCCTTCTTTTTAAGGTTGCAAGTGATAATTGTCAATGAAGTAGCAGCCAGTTCCATGACACGTGCTTAAGTAAATGTAGCTGCAGCAAATATGATTTGTTTAGTTGGTGAGCTAAAATGGATTATGGCTAACAAAGTTGCCATTTTAGGTGGTTCGAATTTTATGAGCCTCACAGCGTAATCATTATGGCATATAATGCTTTAGCTTCGAATGTGTTCGTCTCTGGTTGTAAACAAGGAACCTCCAGATATCTGGATTTCATAGTTTCAATGTTTACTGTCACAAGAGTGAAGCTATCTAGTAGGAAAATCCTGGAACATCATGTCATCCCTCCAGAATAATCTGGAGGGATGACATGATGTTTTATCCCTCCAGAGTCCAGAATAATCTGGAGGGATGACATTATGTTTTATCCCTCCAGAATAATCTGGAGGGATGACATCATGTTTTATCCCTCCAGAATAATCTGGAGGGATGACATGATGTCATCCCTCCAGAATAATCCTGGAACATCATGTCATCCCTCCAGAATAATCTGGATGTCATCTCTCCAGAATAATCTGGAGGTATTACTTTTTCATGTCATATGATTATTCTTCTTCATCATCATCATTACTCCATCCAGGGGCGGAGCCAGGACTTAGTCGTAAGGGGCCCAAGAAGGAACATAAACAATAAAAAAAATCTCTAAATTGGACTAAAACAAAAATAAAGTTCATAAATAGGATTACCATTGTTTTATTCTCAAAATAGGACTTATTCACTCCTTTTTTGGGAAACTGTAATCAAATTGTTTTTAATTGGACTAAATAATATCTACTTGACAAAACTACTTTGTCCTATTTTCAATCATATATATGTAACTATTTCGTGAGGAACAATCGTGTCAAAATTACCTGACAGGATCTGCAATCTGACTGCCTTTGTTTGAGGTGCTTCAAGGTGGATTTTTTTAATGAAATTTTGTGAGAATGTTCTTCATGATGTGTAGATTATTTACGTCAAATTTCAGTTTAAAATGCAATCGGGAAGTCAATTAAATAAATTATTAAACAATACTGCGCCAATATATATATGAAATAGCGCAATGTTTTTCCATAATTTATTTAATTGACTTCCTTATTAAATTTTAAGCTACAATTTGGTGGAAATAATCTACTCTTCATAAAAAATATGCTCAAAAATTTTCATCAATTTTTTTTTACCCTGAAGCATCTCAAATTGAGGCTTTTATCAGGTAATTCTAACCCCTCTATGTACCTCCGTCCCTTACCCCAGCGCCGTAAAGGCTCCCACACCTTCGGTGGGCTGGGTAAGGGGGGTCGGATGTACGCAATCTTACCCCTGTACTAAAGCACAGAGAGACTGTTTCCGGATGACCCATAGTAAAAATCACGCCGAAAATTGCATGGACCGACTGTTTCTTCATAAGAAAGAAGCGCGGACAGTTTAGTAAGCCATTTTGCTTTATTCCATCATATTTCCAAGCCAAAAAATAATAAGTCTTTGGCTCCATTGCAAATGATAGAACATGTCATATGGTTATTATAAATTAAAAATTGTGACAGATTGAAATCTGAAACATCAGGTAAACAACAGAGACATGTCGATTGCTGTTTTAAGGGCATTTATAGCAAAGCGAAAGCAAGAGCATGAAATGTTTATCTCAAAAAAAGCAAAAGCACCATCAAATAATACAGACAAATCTGGTACTGAACTGGATCCTCCAGTCCATTTTGATCAGAGTAATGGGGCACCGAGTAATGGGTGTGAAACGACAAAAGAGAAGTCTGAGGATGAACAATGTAGCATTTCAGAAGAGCCAACAAAAAATCCAGGGGGGAAATGCAGAGAACTGAAGTCACCACGGATCCTTGAGGTTTCTCATAACTTTGTTTGCATTGTTTTTAAGTTAGTGTACTATGTTATTGTTATTGTGAAGGAGTTGCAAATGTGATGCAGTTTTTTGGCTCCTTTGTCATGTCACTTATGAATTAACAGGCACTATCAGCTTCTGGTTTGAGGGCTTTAAGATATGCTCGTGAAATTGAAGGGATTGGTCAAGTTATAGCCTTGGACAATGATAAGGGTAAGTGATCTTGTACCTTTTCTGTGTTCAGGGATATGAAATGACTGATGTTTTCTCCGTAAAATAATTTGCTGATGAGATAATTGGATAAGGTTTCCCTCTTATGACATGCATTAGTCTTGATTAAGAATGCATTCACTCTATGGGCTGAGTACTTCACCTTATTCCATGAAGGTAAAGGGTTTCCCTCTTTTTGCAGCTTCTGTTGAAGCTTGTCAGAGAAACATAAAATTCAATGGTTCTGTAGCCTGTGCAAAGGTGGAGTCTCACCTTGATGATGCTCGTGTTTATATGCTCACCCATCCAAAAGAATTTGATGCGGTATGGCTATACAAGCACTAACATGAGTACCTGTTCAATATCAAATTATTCTATAAGGCTTCCAATCGGTAGTTACTACTACATTATTATATCTTTTTGTGCAGAGCTCATGCATATGGGACAAATACCTAAGTTTGTTTTTTAACAACCTGTTTTGTTTTAAATGTGATCTGAATGAATAATATCAGGTTGATCTAGATCCCTATGGTTCGCCCTCTGTGTTCCTGGATGCTGCTGTTCAGTCTGTTGTTGACGGGGGCATATTAATGTGTACTGCCACTGATATGGCAGTGCTGTGTGGAGGAAATGGGGAGGTTTGCTATTCCAAGTAAGGTTTATATGGCACTTTGTTGTAATGAAACGATTCTCTCTGTAATTCTTATTTGATTTTTTCGGTAGCTAAACAGTGACTTACTTGATACACCTGTGCAATCAGGTATGGTTCCTATCCACTGAGAGGAAAATACTGTCATGAAATGGCGTTGAGGATACTCCTTGCCTCCATTGAGGTATGATGTTTACGCTTTAGTTTTCATTACTGAGAGCCAACCATTTGAGCCCCCCCCCCCCCCCCCCAGGGTCAGCCTTTTGTGGGGCAGAGGTAGTAAAACAAAAGCAGTTTTTTGTTAATTCTATTTATTAACGTTAGTACGCTATTCTTAAATTTTCTTGCATTAGTATCGTTTAGTAATTGTATTTCAGAGCCATGCAAATCGACACAAAAGATACATTGTTCCCATACTGTCAGTTCAGATGGACTTCTATGTGCGTGTCTTTGTTCGCATCTATACGTAAGTGTTTCTTCCTTTATTATTGGTGTTTCACTTTTCCTGCTGTAGCTGTAAATTTTGTAATGCACAAACCATCAAACATCAAGTAGGCCTTGAGGTCTTAGCTTTCAAACAACTATTTGCAGTTCAGCAAGTGCTATGAAGAACACTCCACTAAAGCTGTCATATGTGTATCAGTGCATTGGCTGTGATTCTTTCCATCTTCAGCCGATTGGGAGGACTGTGTCCAAGGTATGTAAATCTATTTATTAAATCTTCTTAAGACTTTCTCATACTTGCAGTTTTGTTGTTTTGTGCGGCTTCACCAGCTGTTTGACCTAGGATTTTTTAAGAGTATTTAGCCACTACTGTTTACGACTTCAAACTATTTATTATTTTCTTTTTTGTCATTCCCCAGAACAACAGTGTGAGATTTCTTCCTGGGTTTGGTCCTACAGTTCCTCAAGAATGCAGTGATTGTGGTAAGAAATTCAACATGGGCGGTCCTATATGGTCTGCTCCCATCCATGATCAAGAATGGGTAGCTTCCATGCTCGCAGATGTAAAATCAATGAAGGCACACTATCCAGCTTATGAGAGAATCTGTGCTGTACTGACAACAATTTCAGAGGTATGCTTCTCTAATATGATAATGGCTTTGGCTAACTGACTCCCTTGACCTTGCCACCTTGAAATAGTGTTCTGGGAGACAGCTTAAGCCCCCCCTAGGTGCAGCCTAGGCCATCCTGGTTTCCTCTAAGGTGACTTTGCTAGGTTGGGCCAGGACATGTTTTTTTGCATAACAGGATTACAAGTGATTCTTCAAATCGTCATAGTAAATTGATCCCATGACATATAGGTTAAGGTTCTTACAACTTGAACCATACGTTGTTATGGGGCTTCATGTAATATTTGGGTGGTTAGTTTTTTCTAGGTGCCTAGACATCTGTTTTCAATGCGCTCATAAAAATTGCTGTTTAGGACTCTTATTGGTGCAAATGAATTGTTTTATGTTTTGATGAAATATAATATGAGTAAAAAATATAATTAAAAGTACACATTCAAACTCAAATATACAAAATATTTGAGTTACAAAAATTATTGTATAATATGGTTTGGGATAATATGATTATATGCTTATTGTATAAAATTACTTCATCTGTCCGTTTTATGTCAGAGTTACGATTTACATATTCACCAAACAGGATCTTAGCCAAGTCTCTTTGGTACTCTTTTTTAACTTTATAATCTTTCTTCTCAAATATTAGAACACTGGCACCCATGACTTGTCTAAAAGTCTAAAACCTTTAAGAACACTGCCTTGCCGTTCCATAGTTTCCTGAGCCCTCCCTAACTCCCTTAAGGCATCTACAACAGTGAACATAGTAGTCAATGGCGAGATATGGCATGCGCCATATGCGCCATCGCCATGAAAAAGTGGTCATCGCCATAGCGCCATTCGTATATGCGCCATCGCCATGCGCCATCGCCATGCGCCATGAAAAATGCCTTTGAGCCGTGGCAATCGCCATGCACCATGACAAATCTGATGGTGAAAAATGGAAATTAAGTAAGATGTACTTAATAATAAATAGAATTTCTTAAACCAATTTAATTCATTTTTCCACATTAAGTTCTAGCTTCTAGGCTTTGCCGACTTTCCATGATAAAAGACACTCCGAATCCATTCTCTTTAATATTTAAATATTAAATTCTAATGTGCTCAAGAAATACAAATGCCTACCTGTTAATACTTAATAGTATGTGATGTTTCATGCAAAGAAGCATGATATTGGATTTTAAGGATCAATTTCACTGTTTCATTTGTTTTACTATGCTTATTAAAAAGTTGATTAGATGTTATTTTCTCTTTCTTCATTGAGCATGGTACTTCTAAATCCCCAACTGTAGATGAAAGTTTTGAATCAACAAGGAGGCAAGCAAGGCAATTTTTTTCCGTTTCTCGTATTCTTCTTCTTCTTTTTATTATTTTTATTCTTTACCTCCCTTGCTGGCTTGCTCATGGTGCGAGTCATAAAATGAATGATTAGGTCCAGTTGCTGATGGAGAGACTTCTGTTTGTTTTTGTGTCGGTTTGTCCTGCCTTGTCCTTATATTGGACCGGAACTTCCATTATAGTTAGAGAAAAAACCAACTAATGAATTCGAAAATCTACATGGGCAAATATGGAAATCAATTCGAAATAAGTCATCCATCCATCTTGAGCAAACCAATTAGAATATAATTTATATAAATAGTCCCCTCTGGTTTGTAGAAATCAGTGAGTAGAAAATTTAATATGGTTATGTATTTCAATATTAGCGTTTGCAAATGTTGGATTTTCTTCTTGGCAGGAATTACCGGACGTTCCTCTGTTTCTCAGTTTGCACAATCTCTGCGCGACACTCAAATGCACCTCCCCCTCAGCAGTGATATTTCGGTCTGCAGTGATCAATGCAGGATATCGTATATCAGGAACTCATGTGAATCCCCTGGGGCTTAAAACAGATGCTCCAATGGATGTCATATGGGATATAATGCGGTGTTGGGTAAGCGGAATGTATTTTTTTCTTATCCCAGGGTGGAGGCAATGTAATATTAATGTTCTTATCCCAGGATGGAGGCAACGTAATATTAATGTGATGTTTTACCGCATAGAAATGGATGGTGTACTACATTGTATTCGTGAAATGATTTTTCTATGTAGGTCAAAAATCATCCCGTGAAAGCTCAATCACCTGACCTCTCTGGAAGCGTCATTCTTGCGAAGGAACCTGTTCTGCAGGTGCTTTTCATACATTTGTGTGCTTGCAATTATGTTTATATATGTATATACAGAGATACATCTATTTCTGTCAGGCGTGCCTCTCAGGAAGTTAGTCAGGCCAACATCAATGTGATTTGGGTCATTAGTATTATTTGTTACTCCGTATTTCTAAACGGTTAGATCTTAAATTTGTTAGAAATAGATGCAATAAACTTTCTTTTTCAATTTTAAAATTTAGGGGAAATCACACTTTTGGTCCTTCAATTAGCACCCAAATTGAAATGCCATCCCCAGCGTTTTTATTTTTCTACATGTGACCCCCCATTGTCCAAACTTTTGTAAATGTCGCCCTCGCCCCGTGTATTTTTGAACTAACACGGGGACTAATAATATACACTGGTGATGCAATATTTACAAAATTTGGACAATTGGGGATCATATTTACTAAAATAAAAACACAAGGATGACATTTCAATGTGAGTACTAATTGAGGGACCCAAAGTGTGATTTTCCCTAAAATATATGCAACTGTTAAGATTGTTCATCATTAGAAATTGGTAAATTGAATGTTTGTAATTGATACATGCCCCTGATTTTGTAAGACAAGTTAATGAATTTTTTACTAAGATTTACTTGCGCCTGATTTTGACATCTCTACTATGAATTACTCTCTGTCCCATTTTAATTTTACTGGTCTTACTTTCCTTTTGGGTTTTCCCAAAATAAGTGTCACATTTCTTTTTTTGGAAAGAAATATTTGGTCTACACCATTTCGCTTTCTTATACTCAAATCTCAACCACAACTTTTACTTTTACGTTTTCAACCACTGAATTAAACTATTAATAATTGTGCCAAACCAAAGTAGGACACATAAAATGGCACGGGGGTAGTATATACGTGTGTGCACATGCTTATTATCTGATGTAAATTTTGTTCAAACCAGTGTTCTAGAAAATTGCTAAATGGTCTCTAGGCAGAGTAGACTGGGCTGCTTAGCCCCCTAGATGTACCCAAAATTGTTAAAATTAGAGGACGATTAAGGGGGGTGCCTTAGTGCCCAGACAAGAAGTTTTAGAACAGTGGTTTAAACCTGAAGCACTAAAAAAACTTAATTACTTCATTTTTTTTGGTTTTAGGCCAACTTTGCACGGGCTGTTGCATCGCTGAGCAAAGCGCAGGCAAAGAAGGTTGCACGTTTCCTTCCCAACCCTGAACGACATTGGGGCCCAAAACTCAGAGCAGGCCGGCAGATCACTAGTAAACACGTTTCTCTTTTGGGCCCAGAAGCGGTGAATGGATTAAACATTGATGAAGAAGATGGTGAAGAACCTGCAACAAAGCGTATGAAGACAGAAGATCCTGCTCTTGATTCTTAAAGTTGTAAATCTGTCTATTGAAATGTTTCCGCAGCAGGATGAGCATTTTATTTGACAATACATTTCTTCTGCTGCATTTAATGGCACAGAGAAAGAAGCAGCCCAAACGGATAAGTATGGAAGGTCTTACTTGCATCAAAAGGAAGATCATAGCTCGGTGCCTTGAAATCTTGAATCATGAAGGAAGGTGTTTTATTTAATATTCTTTTTAGATTCCTTGCTGTTTTCCGCTATTGTACGAACATTTTTATTATCTCAGTGTTTTCGGTCAGTGAGGGCATGATCAATAAAACCAACTGATGTGCATGTAAACATAGTTCGTTGCAGCATATTGAGTTTTATTTTTACTTTTTAGAGCTGTAATTTGATAAACTGCTCTACAGGCATGGGACTGTCTGGGGCCCGGACCAGTCGGTCCACTGTTTGAGGGAGGGAGGACTGGGGCCGCACCTTGGCTGGTACCGTGCTGGTTGCGATAACCGGTCCGTGTCCGTAGTGACCAGTTCATTTTTTGAACATTTCTATACTCTTACAAATAATATGTAGAGAAAAGGGGCAAATAAGCCCACGTACTAACCAAAAAATGTCAAATAAGCCATTATATAGGAGGTTATTCCCGTCCGTCGTCATTTTGGAATGTTCCCGGTGGAAATTTTTGATGTAATTTTTTGAGCATATTATTTATTAAGTCTAGTTTACTCATACCAAATTTCAGCTAAAACTTAAATCGGGAAGGCATTCAAATGAATTCTTGAAGATAACTGCGCACTTAAAAGCATAGTTATTTTCAAGAATTTATTTGAATGCCTTTTCAATTGAATTGATAGCTGAAATTTGGTATGAGTAACTAGACTTGATGAATAAGATTCTCAAAAACTTTCATCAAAAAATTCCACCGGAAACTGCCCCAAATGGCGACGGCCGGACAGAGCCTCCAATATAAGGGCTTATTTGACCTTTTTTGGTTAGTACGTGGGCTTATTTGCCCTTTTTTCCTAATGTATTTGTTCTAGTAACACTTGTTCAGTGAGAAGGATTTGTATACATAGGCAATGGGAAGGAAATTTTTTCCTGGTGAGAAAAATTGTTTTACCATCTAACCTATAACGGCTGTAAGGACAATTTGAAATAGTTGGTACTAAATATTATTTATACATTAGTTATACAAAATATTCATCTTTATATATATATATGCATTATTTGCAGCCTTTTTATTTTATCATTATATATATATTCATCTTTTTTATATTATCTTTTCATAATAGCTTATCTTTTTATCTTTTTTCCTTCTCTTCCTTTTGGTTGTGATATCATGTATCGATTCATGTTAGTCGACCACAATATCTTTTGGGACTAAGGCTTGGATGTTGTTGTATTAGTTATACAAAATATTAAGTGACTGGTCACACGTCAACCTGGTGAATGCCACTAGGGGTGGGCATAAAACCCGAACCGAACCGGTACCGAACCGTCCCGTAATGGTACCGAACCGAATACCGGGTATTTAAACGGTTCTATAGATTTTTATCCCGAATCGAAACCGTACCGTTTGAACGGATACGGGATCGGTCCTAGATTTTGAGAACCGAAAAATACCGGACCGAGCTGTTCGTAAATAATGCATGTTGGGCCGCGGGTATGCGGTGCTAGCAACAGCCAGCCTACCGGTGCAATCGGACCGCGTGGCGCTTCGCTTGTGCTATAAAGGGGGAGGAGCGTGCTTCACTATCAGCGATTGCTTTTAGTGTAGCGGTAAACGCAACGATCCACAAGTGGTATCAGAGCCAAGGTCACGGGTTCGACCCCCGGCAACAGCATGCTGCGCAGTTGTAGGCTGGCAGGTGCTGGGGGGAGATTGTTGGGCCGCGGGTATGCGGTGCCAGCAACAGCCAGCCTGCCGGTGCAATCGGACCGCGTGGCGCTTCGCTTGTGCTATAAAGGGGGGGGGGGGGGGGGAGCGTGCTTCACTATCAGCGATTGCTTTTAGTGTAGCGATAAGCGCAACGATCCACAATGCATTTGAATTTTTTATATTTTTTCTATATCAATAGATCTAGACCAACAATTATATACCCCAAGTATGTATTCATGTGTCCCTAAGATATCTAAAATGTGTTGTTTATATATATATTGCTAGTTTTTCTTTTTAGATAATTTATGTTATATTTTGGTATGTATTGAAAGAATATTAAAATTTTAGAAATGATTAATGATTATTTATTTCTAGTAATGTAGTGTACATGACTTGTTGTTGTATCATGTTTGTGCATTTTTTACAACTTAATTAATATGGTTTAAATCTTAGCTCTCAAGATTCAACTTTAAATTAAATCAGAACTACGGAGTAATATTTAACCTAGAACGAAGAAGAAGAACGTTGAATATTTCTATTATATTCAACAATTTGATGATATTCGTTTTTATATTTTTACATGAACTTAGTAAATTAAAAATGATATTTATCTTAGTTGCGTTGCTATACTTTTTCTTAGTTGTGTTGTCTCACTAACTTTGTCACTTTCTCTTTTAAGTAAAGAATTTGTGGTTCCAGTTATTTTTTTTTCTTCTGCACAAAATTCTACCACACAGTTTTTACTTTATTAATCTCTGTACTGGTCTAACTTGGCAAAGTTTTAAGGAACAAATGTAGTAGAATTTAGCACATCAAAGCCAACAAAGTCAACAATTATCTCCAGTGATGATCATCTCATTGATATATGCTTTGATAATGATAATTATGATCACAAGTACAATGTTTATTACTAGGGGGTTTGACATAAATAATACTAAAGACAAAAGTGTGGGTGAAAAAGGACCTTTACTAAGAAATTCCAAAAAAGTGATGTTGAAGTTTATTCCTCAACTAGAATGCTAGAGTGCTAAGTTGCCAACACTTTAAAATGAAATAAATGCTACTATTTATACCACCAATGGCAAGTTGTAGATGGCCTAGATCCCAACCACCAAATCTCCACATTAAATGTGCTTCCCGCCAGAATCTTGGCTTCTCGCCATTGGGTGGGGACGTTCGTCCCCATAAGCTTGCTTCATGTTTCCTGTTAGGTCCAAAGTCCTACGAGACAAGCGTCTCACACTGCCCCCGAGCCAAGGTACTCACCTACCCCCAGATACGTACGTCCCTTGGGCCTTGATGATGTGGGCTGGCCCTGTTGGGGATGAACCTCGTCAGGATAAGCGGAAGGGTAATCCATTATCTTGTGCCTTCCAGAGTCGTTCGTGGGATGGGCCTTAAGGGTTTATTGTCCTAGCCATCGCTGGTGCCTTCCATCTCCATCAACCGGGTCCATCGATCTAGCTTCTTCTCCTTCGGTCTTCTTCTGAAGGATCATCTACTCATGTTTCGATTTCAGATGGCATGGTTGTGCGGTGCTGGCGGTGGCTGGATCTATTCTTGACGGCAAGGGTTCGTGACATAGGTGACGAGTCTAGGTGTGCGATGGATACCCGGTGAAGGTGCTTGTAGTATGATTTGGCTAAGGTTTGAGATCCGATGTCAGTGACTATGGTTGCCTCGTGTGATAGGTGGCAGTGGCGTGGTAGTGGGACGACCATCACAGGGCTGGGGCGGGGTGTGATGTTTGGCAGCGACTGTGGAGGGGCAAAGGGCTGAGGAGGGGGGTGGTAGTCTAGCACTTTAGGGATGGGACTGGTGGGCTAGGGAAGGGCTGATGTGGTCATTGTCTGGGCGGCAGCTGTCAACGGCAGCGACCGACTGTTGCTAGGTGTGCGGGGGCTGAGTGCAGGTTTGGGGGTTGGGGAGGCGATAGTCACTGACCGGGGGTGACGACAATCATTGGATGGAGGACAACGACAATCACTGTGGCCGGAGGCAGGCAGTCACTGTGGCTGGAGTCACTTTGTCACTGCAGGGTATAATTGTGAAGTTGGTCACATTTTTGGAAATATAATTGTCTTTTATTCTCATCTTTGTTGAAGGAAATTACCTTTAATGTGCATTCGTTATAGATAGAAAATGTATTTAGGGTTTTGTGTGCATTTAATTATATGGCCCATTGGCCCATGCCTTGTAAACCCTATTTCCTCCTATTTAAAGGAGGCTTGCTAAATGAACTAACACACACCTCTCACATTCCTCACATCGACCCGTTGGTCGCATGTTACCTTATTGTCCACAAGAAATGCTGCATTTGCAAAACTCCTAGCACAAATAATTCGCTTAAGGGCTCACCACCACGATCATCCTATAAAGTCCATCAGACTTGATAACGCTGGAGAGTTTACATCAAAGACATTTGATGACTATTGCATGTCTATCGGGATCGACATAGAGCATCCTGTTCCCCATGTACACACACAAAATGGTCTCGCAGAAGCTACTATTAAAAGATTACAAACGATAGCTAGGGCATTGGTTATGCGCACCAACTTGCCTATATCTGCATGGGGATATGCAATATTACATGCAACCTTACTTATTCACTTTAGGCCCACTGCGAACCAACCATTTTCTGCGTACCAGTTGGTAACTAGATATGAGCCTGACATTTCACACTTACGCATATTTGGTTCTGCAGTCTATGTGCCAATTGCGCCACCACAGCGCACCAAAATGGGTCTTCAAAGACGATTAGGTATATACGTTGGATACGAATCACCAACAATAATCTGTTATCTAGAACCTTTGACAGGCGATCTTTTCACCGCAAGATTTGCGGATTGTCACTTTGATGAGACAACATTCCCGTCGTTAGGGGGAGATAAGAAAAAGGATTTTTCCGAAGAACGACGTGAATTATCCTAGTGTTTTCCTACACTGTCTCATTTTGATCCCCGCACCTCACACTGTGAAAGTGAAGTGAAAAGAATAATAGACCTACAAAATGTAGCAGACTCAATGTCTGATGCATTTTCTGATATTGCAAAAGTGACAAGATCACACATACCAGCCGCAAATGTGCCTGCAAGGTTAGAAGTCCCCAAGGGAGGGCAAAGTGCCATAGTAGGAGGTACTGCAACCACACTTAGTGGAGGTGTGGTTGAGGCCGTGGCTCCTCAAAGGAAGAGAGGAAGGCCACTTGGTTCGATTGATACTCGTCCAAGGAAGAAGATGACGAGTATGGCACAACCTAATCCATTAATCATCGATGAACAACATTCATCCCATGAGATTATCTCCGATTATAGTTATGTCCACGAATCATTACTGGAGGACGCTCCGATGATCGAAATGATTCTAGAAAACAAGGAAATCTCTATGGATTATGAAAATGCACATGTGCTAATGGAAAGATCTTCCATACACATCGATGATATATTTGCATTTACAGTCACTCAAGAAATTATAGAGCACGATGATATCGAACCTCGCTCTG